TTATTATAGACGTCGTTTACGTTACTTTTGTAACCATAAACGTCGTTTACGTCACTTTGGTTACTATAAGCGTCGTTTACCTCACTTTAATGGCTATAAACGTCGTTTACGTCACTTTGGTGGCCATAAGCGTTGGTCACGTTACATTGGTGGCCATAAACGTCGTATACGTCACTTTTGTGGCCATAGGCGTCGTATACGTCACTCTTGTAACCATAGGCGTCGTTTACGTCACTTTAATGACCATAGGCGTCCTTTATATCACTTTGGTGACTATAAGCGTCGTTTACGTCAGTTTGATTGTCATAGGCGTTGTTTACGTCACATTGGTTGCCATAAACGTTGTATACGTCACTTTTGTAGCTATAGACGTCGTTTACGTCATCTTGTTGGCCATAGGCGTTGTTTACGAAATTTTGGTAGCCATAAGCGTCGTTTACCTCACTTTAATAGCCATAGGCGTCGTTTAAGTCACTTTAATGGCCATAAACGTCGTTTACGTTACTTTGGTCGTTATAAACGTCGTTTACGTCACTTTGGTGGCCATAAGCGTTATTTACATAACTTTGGCCACCATAGGCGTTCTTTACGTCACTTTGGTGGCAATAGGTGTCTTTTTCGTCACTTTGGTAGCGATAGGCGTCGTTTACGTCACTTTAATAACCATACAGATACAGATACAGATATTTTATTGATCAGATACTAACAGGTACATGCCCGGCACCGTAAAAAACATAACCGGATAATGTTCGACATTACTGAGGAAGTGAGTACTGGTTGAACAGTTTGAGTGTACACGCGTACATTTACAGGAATACAGTAGTATTAAATTATACAGGAGTACAAAAGAAAGTTATACATGGAATACAAAATAAACACTATACAGGAATTACTTATATTATATGAAAATACAATAATTGCCNCATTAATGAATAATGCCCGCAATATGCAGATATATTGCATGGAATTCTATCAATGAGGTAATTAATGGTTGCCTGAGATATTCCTTGCCAAATTGTGTCCACATCATCTACAATATGTGGTGATGGTCCCTGGTACACTTCACATTGGACGAGATCCCACATCTATATGCAAATTGCAGAACCAGTAGAGGTGACAGATATGCAAATGATTAAAGATATTCAACAAACACCTATTTATTCATTAATGAATATGGCCCGCAATATGCAGATATATTGCATGGAATTCTATCAATGAGGTAATTAATGGTTGCCTGAGATATTCCTTGGACTAATCTAGAAACTGTCATATAGGCTGAGAGAAATGTGATGTGCACTCAGAAGGATATTTTCGAAGACTGCATACTGACCAGTTGGTTGTTGATCATCATTATATAGTTGCATAACAATAAATCATGCAACTGTTAACTTCAGAATAGATTTTTTTACCTTATGATCTTTACCTTACCTTATCTATACCTTTACCTAATCTCAGAACACACTATATATTTAATGAACACATCAGTGTATTAGTTTCCTTAATTAACAAAATCTAGCAATAGTTTAAAAAATGATTGTAGTTACAAATTTTATTTTCTAGTAAGTGATTCTTCTGGACTGATTCCTTACATTCATGTGATATTTGGTAAAGTGAAAAAGTCATTTGCTTACCAATTTAAACTTGCAAAAATTGATAAGAAAACTATAAAAATAATGTATTTTAACTTATTATAGTACTTAGTTTAAGAAGGTTGTCAGATTTCTTATGTTTTTAAGAATATTTTAATAACAAATTGTCTTCATGTTGAAAACTCCAAATAATTAGGTATTTATAATTCATATTTACTGTGATGAAAATTATATAATATTTGTTCTTTTTCAGAAGTGAAATAAATGAAGATATTGCAGTCAGAAGATAAGTCTGTTAAAAATGTAAAGTGTTAAGAAAATAAATAAATTATAAATGTATATTGTATTCATTTATAAATACTAACTTACAGTTGTGAATTCAATATATATTTCATATAAACAATGAAATAAATTTTTACAGAAATTTTTATACTCAAATAAATTAATGTGTTAATGGATTTATATCAAACATTTGTTTTAAATTTCCTATTAACTAATTAAAAATAAGATCAATTCACATTTTTGTTTCATATTTATTCAATTAAATGTTTTTAGTAGTAGTAATAACCTCCATTCTCGCAAGACTACAATACAATCAAATAGGTATGCTTACATTAACTAAGAAGAGCTTAACAGGTAAGTCTATAACATTTACTGCAGTGGTTCCCAAACTTTTTTGATTCTCGGCACACTTGCTAAATCCAGAGTTTTTCCAAGATGCCCTATGTCAAATTCTAACAAGTATGTACAATTTGTGAAATAGCCAATATTTTTTAAATTAAAGTTAGGACATTAAGTAAAAAATATAATGTATTTAAGATAGCAAAAAAATTTAATTGAATAAATTTAATTAATTATAATTAGTGAGATGGATGAGCCTGTTGATCACTGCACATTTTCTCAAATCTTGGAATCAAACTAGACACAGCCACTCTCATTTCCTTCTCCACATTGATTCTCATGCAATGCTTAATTTTTATCAGAGCAACAAACTCAGCTTTGCACAAATGGAATTAAGATTCTCTGAGCTTTACCACTCAGAAGGGATATTCATCTTTTACTGATATCCAAAATTCAGTTAATTCCATGCTACTAAATTTTGTTTTCAACATATTGTCGCAAGACAACTCAATAAGATTCTCTTCTTCTGCAGCAGTAAATTCAGATGGAGCACTGGCATTAAATGGATCTTGAATCCATGCAAATTTATCAATATTATCATTTTTAAAATATTTTTCAAACCAGGTGATAAATGTTCTTCAAAAATAGATTTCATACTTAGAGAGAAATTAACTCCATTGGAGGTCAAAAACTGTTGCAACAAGGAAAAACAATCTTTTCCCCTGTTTTCATTTATTTTTCTTTTCCGTAGTTTTAATTTTTTTGTAAAAGCTGGAATTTTCTCAATCAACTTGTATGCTAGTTTTACCAAAAAATCTTCATTTGCACAATTTTCAGCATACTTGTGGTCTTCTTCTTTAAGAAAAATATAAATTTCCTGTCACATTTCAAACATACAAGACAAAAACATTACCTTGAGAGAGACATTGCACTCTCATAGTTATGTTTTGTGCTGTAGTGTTGTACAACAAAGATGTGTGCTCAGATCCTCGCCTGATCTTTTGAGAAATCTTACCTTCAACAGCTGAGTTTTTATAAAGTTTACTACATTTACTACATATTCTAAGGCCTGGTTTTATGTAGGACTCAGATATTTGATGCGAGTGCTTCCTGTGAATAATGCAATGGGTTCACAGTGCATCAGGGTCTTTGCTTAGAAAAAGTTCTTGCAATCTTCCATAACACCCGGACATTGAATGACACCATCAGTACCAATACCAATGTATTTGGTCCACTCCAAATTATTTTCAGATATAAAAATATCAAAAACCTCAAACAAGTTGTGAGTCTTTGCACCAGCAGTGATGCTTTTACAAAAGAGAGTCTTCTACAATGTTATTACTATCTATAAACTGTATATAGCAAATCAAGCAAGCATCATTGTCATCATCTGTCCTCATGCAGCTGCAACACAAATTCCTTCCCTTTTATTTTTTCAATTAACTGAACATTGGAGGTTTTCACTATGTGCTGTATTCTGTGAATTATTAGACAAAGGCACTTTTAAAAGCTGCTTCCCAGCAGACTCACTGATCATAATGTTCACCACATCTACAGCAGCTGGTAGAATGAGTTTTTCTGCGATGGTAGAGGTTTTTTACATTTTGTGATTCTATTTGCCACCTTTATTACTGATTTAAAGATTGCACCAGGTCTGCTAGATGTCGCATTGTATCTCATTGAATTGAAAGTGGAAGTAAAATTATGAAAATTTTATATTACTTCGTGGTGCCTGTGTGAGGAAGCAGTAGCTCCCTAGAGTGCTGCAGCACACACTGATTTATTGTAATAGAATGCTATCAAACTTCATACAATAACTTCCACATCAGTTATTCTTACACAAATTGATAATTAATGATGAAATAAAACAGAAATTTTAAATATTTTTATTTGTTGCTTTGAAGAAAATAAAATTTTCTTCAAAGCACAAATATATATATACTGTACATGAACCATATACACTCCTCAAAAGTGAAATTGCAATACCATGGAGGAATGCACATATCTATATGCAAATTGCAGAACCAGTAGAGGTGACAGATATGCAAATGATTAAAGATATTCAACAAACACCTATTTATTCATTAATGAATATGGCCCGCAATATGCAGATATATTGCATGGAATTCTATCAATGAGGTAATTAATGGTTGCCTGAGATATTCCTTGCCAAATTGTGTCCACATCATCTACAATATGTGGTGATGGTCCCTGGTACACTTCACATTGGACGAGATCCCACGGGTGTTTCATGGGCGAGAGTTCCGGAGCTGTCGGTCAGGGAAGGTCTCATAAGGAACTCCTTCCCTGCCCCACCTATTGGCACCACAGGGTTAAAGAGACTATGCCTTATTCATCGACTGGTCGGTACCTGACGCGGTAGACAGGACGACGTAGCTGGGCCCTATGATCTTCATTCGGGCTCCCGTCCGCACCCCGGCCCAGCCCTCTAACTTGGCATAACTTTTGTTTTGTGCAGCCTGTACTGCACTTATGGTCCACACTACTAAACCTTATCCAGCTCACACTTGTACTAAATGCTTAGACTTATACCTATGTAGTAGGTATTCAGACAGCGGGGCCCCTGTTCCTACGAGAGGGGACCCAAACTAGCTCTTTCCAAACCTATAGATCGAAGAGATCTATGATTTTTCCCATCAATTCCTTTAGTTTCTTTAGGTTCCCTTTACTAGCTGCTAGCATTCGAAGTACTTGTTCAGGGGGCTTGGACCAGTCAACTTGGTCTGCCCCTAGGCAGAAGTCCCTTGTTAGGGGACAGTCAAGTACGTAATGCCTCGCATCGCCGCGAGGACTACCACAGGGGCAGCTACCATCTCCTTGTCCGAACTTGGACTTGAAGTGGGGGAACCTCCCGTGGCAGTCAGGGAAGGATGTGAATTCCATTTAGACTGGTGAGAGTTTGCCATACAGCATGCAGTTGGGCATCATCTTGCTGGAACACCATGTTAGGTGCAGTCTGCACCAGTAGCCAAATCACAGGCCCCACAATTTGTGTGATGTACTGGTCTGCTGTCAGAGTACTGGAAATGTGCACCAGATACAGATACAGATATTTTATTGATCAGATACCAACAGGTACATGCCCGGCACCGTAAAAAACATAACCGGATAAAGCGTGACATTACTGAGAAAGTGAGTACTGGTCGAACAGTTTGAGTGTACACGCGTACATTTACAGGAATACAGTAGTATAAAATTATACAGGAGTACAAAAGAAAGTTATACATGGAATACAAAATAAACACTATACAGGAATTACTTATATTATATGAAAATACAATAATTGCCACATTGTACAGGAGTTTAGGAGTACAAATAGAGTTCAGTAGACGGAATACATAAATGATATTACATTTTGCAGAGATATTTTAATATAAGCATAATACTAGAGTACAGATAATATATACATTAATAATTACATAGCCACGGTTGAACACTTAAAGTATTTGACAATAAGCGTGTTGAAAGCCTCATAGGTGTCCTTGTGTTCGAAGATCTCGTAGCAGTCATTAGGCTAGGACTTGCCGTGGGCCTCTAGAACGATTTTGAGGTGTAGCCTCTCCAGCTCTAGGGCAGGACACTCGAAGAGGTAGTGTGAAGAACTGTCCACGACTCCGCATAATGAACAGTTAGGGTTAGGGGTGTTGTGGAACCTCGCCAGATAAGAGTGAAATCCTCCGTGGTTGGTGAGGAATTGGCTCATGCGTTGATTAGGGCAGTACCACTTGCTGTTAATGAAATTTCTGATGGCTGGAATAAGTCTATGTGTGGTGGGATGCCTCCTCTCATCCNTCTGAATTTAACAAAAATTCCTGGTAATGCTTCCTGCGGGGCCGGGAAATGTGTATAATAGCACTTTAATAAAATAATGAATGAATGAATGAATGGCCTAGCGGGCTAACGAAAACCGTCGAGGAAGCGGTCCGATCGCGGGCCAGCGAAAATCCGAAATAAAAAACAGCGATAATTAATGAACTAATCGTCGGAGGCAAAAAATATTAACACTTACAGATAGCCAACGATAAGATCTAACCAAAGACATGTCAATATCCAAAATTGAACAAGATCTGGCGGAGATATTACGATCGATAGCAGAGATATTCACAACGTCCATGCACGTTAGCGACAACACGTGTCCTACTTTGGTAGCCATGGGCGTCGTTTACGTCACTTTGGTGGCCATAGGCGTCCTTTACGTCACTTTAGTGGTTATAGGCGTCTATTACGTCATTTTGGTGGCCATATTTACGTCACTTTGGTGGTTATAGGCGTCGTTTACGTCACTTTGGTAGCTATAGGCGTCGTTTACCTAACTTTGGTGGCCAGAGGCGTTGTTTACGTCACTTTAATAACCATAAACGTCGTTTACGTTACTTTGGTCGTTATAAACGTCGTTTACGTAACTTTGGTAGTTATAAGCGTTGTTTACGTAACATTGGTGGCTATAAACGTCGTATACGTCACTTTTGTGGCCATAGGCGTCGTTTACGTCACTTTGGTTACCATAGACGTCGTTCACGTTACTTTGGTGGCCATAGGCGTCGTTTACGTAACTTTTGTGGCCATTGGCGTCGTATACGTTACTCTAGTGGCCATAGGCGTCGTTTACGTCACTTTGATGGCCTTAGGCGTCCTTGACGTCACTTTGGTGGCAATAAACGTCTTATACGTCACTTTAGTGGTTGTAGGCATTTATTACGTTATTTTGATGGCCATAGGTTTTGTTTACGTCACTTTGGTGGCCATAGACGTCGTTTATGTCATATTGGTAGCTATAGGCGTCGTATACGTTCCTTTGGTTTTTTTCGGCATCCTTGACATAGCTTTTGTTTCCATAGGCCTTTTTTTACGTCACTTTGGTGGCCATAAGCCTCCTTCACGTAGCTTTGGTGGCCATAATTGTCGTTTATGTCACATTGGTGGCTATAGGCGTTGTTTACGTCACTTTGGTGGTTATAAACGTCGTTTACATTACTTTCGTAGCCATAGGCGTCGTTTACGTCACTTTGGTTGCCATAGGCGTATTTTCCGTCACTATAGTGGTTATAGGCGTTTTTTACGTCACTTTGGTTACCATAGACGTCGTTCACGTTACTTTGGTGGCCATAGGAGTCGTTTATGTCACTTTTGTGGCCATTGGCGTCGTATACGTTACTCTAGTGGCCATAGGCGTCGTTCACGTCACTTTGGTAGCCATAGGCGTCGTTTACGTCATGTTGGGTGCCATAAGCGTCATTTTCATCACTTTGGTGGCAATAAGCGTCGTATACGTCACTTTGGTTGTTTTAGGCGTCCTTGACGTCACTTTGGTGGCAATAAACGTCTTATACGTCACTTTAGTGGTTGAAGGCATTTATTACGTCATTTTGGTTGCCATAGGCGCTGTTTACGTCACTTTTGTGGCCATAAGCGTTGTTTAAGTCACTTCGGTTGTTATAGGCGTCGTTTTCGTTATATATGTAGTTATAGGCGTCGTATACACCACTTTGGTAGCCTTAGGCGTCGTTTTCGTTATATATGTAGTTATAGGCGTCGTATACACCACTTTGGTAGCCTTAGGCGTTTTTGACGTATTTTTGGTGGCGATAGGCAAGACGCCTATCGCCACCAAAAATACGTCAAACTTACGTAACTTTAGTTGTTATATAGCGTTTATTACGTCATTTTGATGGCCGTAGGTGTTCTTTACGTCACTTTGGTTGCCATAGACGTCGTTTATGTTATATTGGTAGCTATAGGCGTCGTATACGTCTCTTTGGTTATCTTAGGCATTATTGGTGTAACTTTTGGGGCCAGAGGCCTTTTTTACGTCACTTTGGTGGTCATAGGCGTCCTTGACGTAGCTTTAGTGGCCATGATTGTCGTTTATGTCACTTTGGTGGCTATAGGCGTTGATTACGTCACTTTGGTGGTTATAAACGTCGTTTACATCACTTTCGTAGCCATAGGCGTCGTTTACGTCACTTTGGGAACCATAGGCGTCTTTTACGTCACTTTGAACATTATAGGCATCGTTTTCGTAATTTCTACGGTCATAGGCGTTTTTTACGTCACTTTGGTTATTATAGGCGTCGTTTATTTCACTTTAATGGCCATAAACGTCGTTTACGTTACTTTGGTCGTTATAAACGTCGTTTACGTAACTTTGGTAGTTATAAGCGTTGTTTACGTAACATTGGTGGCTATAAACGTCGTATACGTCACTTTTGTGGCCATAGGCGTCGTATACGTCACTTTAATGGCCATAGGCGTCGTTTACGTCACTTTAATGGCTATAGGCGTCCTTTACGTCACTTTGGTGACTATAGGCGTCGTTTACGTCAGTTTAATGGCCATAGGCGTTGTTTACGTCACATTGGTTGCCATAAACGTCGTATACGTTACTTTTGTGGTTGTAGGCGTCGTATACGTCATTTTTGTGGTTATAGGCGTTGTTTACGTCATATTTTTGGCTATAGGCGTTGTTTACGAAACTTCGGTAGTCATAAGCGTCGTTTACCTTACTTTAATGGCCATAGGCGTTGTTTACGTAACTTTAATGGCCATAAACGTGGTTCACGTTACTTTGGTCGTTATAAACATCGTTTACGTCACTTTAGTGGTTATAAGCGTTATTTACATAACTTTGGTGGCAATAGGTGTTTTTTACGTTACTTTGTTGGCCAGAAGTGTCGTAATAGGTGTTTTTTACGTCACTTTGTTGGCCAGAAGTTTCGCTCTATCATATTGTGTTTTATGGGTATCACTGAATTGCTCTTGAGAAGCCGTTTCCAACCCTAAACGATTTCTTTATTTTGATTTGGCTTTTCGACGAGTATATGCCGACATTGTATTATGTTTTTTTAATTTTTAACTTTAAAACCATATATATTCACCATAACTATTCCACACTAATGTTTTATGTAAGCAAATAATAAATATTGACGAGAGCTGTAAATTGAAACTCAAACGAGAGTCGTAGCTTTTCCGATTCAACATGTAAACTAAATGGAAAATATGTGACGAGGCGAATATTGCTATGCTGATTTGAGAAATGAGTAAACTAAAATGAGTAAACTAAAATGTTTTAGAATTTTATATTTTCTTGTACATCTAAACGATGCACAAAAAATACAATATAGAACCCTAAAACCTTAAAATATATCAGTAAAACTCGCAGTAAAACTGAATTGCGCTCTTTCAAAAAACATTTTGTAACTAAACGCAAACGTGTCTCTGATAATTTGTCTTCGATTTGCTGAGAATGAGAATCAGACCCTCACACTCTCTGTTTGTAGTTATTATAAAAGTTCGAATAATACTTATTACAAACTTGCTTTATCAACTTAAATGACAACTACTGTAAAACACTTAAAGCGTTTTATTAATTCATAAGCCATGTTTAATTATAACTAAGAGTACATAACAATTACATGTTAAAAGCGTTACCGTTATATGATGATTTAAGAAAACTTTTAATTGTTCTCTTAGTCGTGAAACTAAAGCTACAAATATAGAGGACATTAACACATTCGAAACTGTAATTAATCTTTACTTATGTAACATAGATGATGCATTACAAGTATTTGAAAAGCTGGTAGCTAATTGCAAAATTTTTGTGTTTTATATAGTCATAAGTTCTACCCCAACTTTTATTGACATTAAAATTATTGATTGTCTTCCACAGTGTGAAAAATGATTAAATATGATTCTGCTAAAAATTATTTGCGATAAGTTTTGAAAAGTTTGAGTTTCAGAAATGAGTCAAAAAGGAAACTAGTTTTTTTTTTTTATAAAAACAGAACATGGAAATAAACTACGGTTCAACAGCAACGCCATGTTTTTCAAAAACCAATTGCATTTTCGAATAAATTGGTAACAATTTGATTTATCAACATCATAAGTTCTTTCTTTATTGAGTCAGACTAGATTTGCAGATTTGCATGTTTTTTATGAAAGAATTTCTTCCAACTATAACATGAAAAATTAACTTTGAAAGAATTGTTGCAAACCTACTAATTATTAAATTATTAGAAACTTCAAGAACGCTATACATTGACTAAAGTTTTTTGCCACATTTGCTTCGATCTTCTGAACTATTTGTAGTTCGTCTACATCAACAGTCGGTGAGGGTGGAAGTCTAGTTTTTATGTATTCATGGTTCTGTAGCCGAAATCGAATTATCAAACAAGCAATCTCAAATTGTTTACCAGCTGCTTGTAGAAGCAAGTCATTCAAAACTGAATTCAGAGCCTGTTCCACATTTTCGCTTCTAATTTTTTGGCATGTTGAAACCGATAAAACAAACACACTTAGTTTTATAACAAATAATTATGACATGATAAAAACTTGAAGTGGAAATAAAATTAAAAATTAGACTAATTACAATAGAAAATTGCAGAAACAAGAAAGATAGACGAATAATATTAAGCTAGGCGAACTTATACAGTGTACTTTAATAAAAGTTTTATAAAACTAAGCTATATAAATAAATACTGTATATTTAGATTTGAAATATGATATATCAGAAATTATAATGTTCTTCTCTTGTGTACACGTTTATAAATCGATTTTTTGAGAGATCGAACCAGACAAGTCTCTAATTTGCGTAATTTTATTATTTTTTTCCCTACAACTACGAATAAATACTATTACTTGTATCAATTATTGTAAATTTATATTGTTTAATAACACCTACCTATATATATTTAGATAAATTTACTAAATACGAATATTAAACTGTAAAAATAAAACACAGACAAAATATTGATGTGAAAGCATCGACAAAGACAGCTGATTAATTAACAGAAAAATTAAAACAAGAAAGGAAAAATCTACACTGTCTGTTTTCATTACACCTGAAAAAAAAAAAAATAGAATTTTTCAATATTCTAAAACCGCAGACAAATTCAAGCTAACACACATTGTTACTTGAATAAAAAACTATTGAATTTCAATATTCTCGAATTATGATATAGAGAAACCAGAAATTGTACGAGGGATATCATCAATTTTCAAGCACTGTTAGAACGAAACTCTTCTAGAAGTTTCTTATTGAACGAGACATAATTCTGTTTTAAGAGCAAATTATTAAAGGTTTAATTCGTGTTCGTGTGATTAAATTCTAAAATCTGCTCACAGTTTTCTTTCTTATTTGAAACGGTTTTCAGTCTTAACAAGCCAGAAAAAATGGAATGTAGTGTACTTGCCATCTGAAATATAAGGCAAAATCATTATTAAATCTGTTTATAGAAAGTTCGTAAAAATAATACTAAAGGAAAAAGCAACCTTGAAAACAATTCTCTTATCTACCACAAAAAATCCTCCTATTGAAAGAGACAGGGAGACTTTTCCAAATCTTTTCATAAAATCCAAAATCTGAAAGTATGAATGAAAAATATAAAATAATTATTTATTAAATGATTATGGAAACACATACCTTCAGCTTTCGTTTCAGTCCCATATCACATCCTGCAAATTGCCTGACTTCTTGAAACGTATTTTCCATCTGCAGCAGAGAAAAACAGTATAGAAATAAAAAAAAACTCGTTAATAGTGAATGCATAATATAATTACCGTAAATGCGAGCGAACACAGCAGACTTCCATTTATTATGCAAATACACGTGCATATTACCATAAGTAAAAATATTAAATATTTAAAGTAATAATGAAATTCCAAAAATAAAAATGCGTAGCAAAAATAACTTGTACACCAAAGGACAACGAAATATATGATTACACATACTAAATTGTACTTGGTATTGAATTGTTGTACGAAACGCCAAAGCTCTTCGTGATGCAACATTAATTCGTTTAGCTTTCTCTGTAAATCTGAACCGATTCTTTTAATTAAAAACAATTCCCGAGACAATTGTTCGAACTCTTGATGACCGATGATGCATATAAAACCAATTATTAAAAAAGTGAAACCGAGTCCGCCTATAACATAACTTATAGCTATGAAAATTTGGATACTACAGAACAGAGCTTCACTACGAAATTTTTTCTTGTTTTCTATGTAAGGATAAAGAACGAAAATGACAAGAATTAGAAATAAGATAATAATTACTATTATAATTATGGACACAAGCAAAACAATTTTTCTCAATGAGTTGTAATTATTCTTCATTTTCGTACGGAAATTCTCGTTTCTTAATGTTTGTATTAATACCAATTTGGTTCTTCTCATGCATCTGAAAACAAGACAATAACTGATAAATAGACAAAAATATAACAATTTAAACAATGTGGAATGAGTTTTCAGTATATCAAATTCTCCGTTGCAAATTGAATATTCGTCTAAACCTGGTATTGTTTGCCAAATTAGAAGAATTGTTCGTTGCCATAAACAAAATTCGATTATTCGGACGTATATGTTCTTAAACTTAGAATTTTTACATATTCTAATTTTGTTTCGGCAATTGCAAGATTCAAATGGA